CCTCAGGTCAGGCACAGCTCACTTTTGCCTGCTGGCACCAGAGTTGCATAACTTCACTTTTTGTTATGTTTTAGAGTATTAAAGTACAGTGAAATATCAAAATCTTCCTCAACCTTTCCACCCACGAAGTCTAACAGAGTTTAGGGGGCTCTTTAAGGTTACTCAGTACACATTTGTGAACCCAAGGTTTTATCTGGCTTTGTATTTTCTCAGTGCCTCCTCAAACCCCTCCTGTGAGCACTCTGTGGTTGTCCATAAATATGGAATGAGGTGGTTGGATTTGGTTTTCATTTCATTTCACACAGTGAAATGTATTTTAAATGGCTGCCTGAGGAACTACTGAGGCTTCTGGGCCATTAAAATCAGAAGGTTGAATATTTATTTTGAGGGAAAAGATGAGGATACTCAAACACTTTGGATCAAATTGAATCCTCAGGCATGCACACTGATCTGGGAAGTCTGGAATGAGTTTGCTCCAGAGAAGTGTCAATGTTGTAAAATATTTCTGAGAGTGTAGGAATAGATGAAAATAAAGTGTTTATCCAGAGGGCAGCACAGTGCTGATCTGTACCTGGAAGCCTGAGCTGTGTTTCCTAACCTTGGTTCTGCAGAGCATTTTCCAGTGAGTGCAGCTGTGTCCATTCTTCCTTGGGGAATGGTCTTTCCAGCCCATCCTGTTTGCAGTCTCTTCTGAAGGATTTTATCTGGCCCTAAAGCTGATCCCTGCTGCTCTGTGGATTGCCTGGGTGTGAAGAAAGTCAGCATCAAATCAGTGGATGACACAGATGCTGTGGCACAGCTCCAGTGCCAGCTGAAGGATTCCCAGCTGTGTAGGCAAGGCTGAACTTATGAGGGGTCAAAGTCAGAGCTAAAAACAAGAAAAACAAGAAAAACAATAAAAAACAATAAAAACCCTAAAACCAATAAAACAATAAAAAACAATACAAATAAAACCAATGAAAAAATAAAAACAATAAAAAACAATAAAACACAATTAAAAACCAGTAAAACAAAAAATAAAAACAATAAAACCAATAAAAACCAATAAAAAACAATAAAAATAATAACAATAAAAACAATAAAAATAAAAAACAATTAAAAACAATAAAAATAATAACAATAAAAACAATAAAAATAAAAAACAATTAAAAACAGTAAAACAATAAAAAACAATAAAACACAATTAAAAACCAGTAAGACAAAAAATAAAAACAATAAAACCAATAAAAACCAATAAAAAACAATAAAAATAATAACAATAAAAACAATAAAAATAAAAAACAATTAAAAACAGTAAAACAATAAAACCCAATAAAACCAATAAAACCAATAAAACCAATAAAAACAATAAACCCCAAGAAAAACAATAAAAACCAATAAAACCCCTAAAACCAATAAAACAATAAAAAACAATACAAATAAAAAACAATGAAAACAATAAAAACAATAAAAAAACAATAAAACACAATTAAAAAACAGTAAAACAAAAAAATGAAAACAATAAAACCAATAAAACCCAATAAAAACCAATAAAAATAATAACAATAAAAACAATAAAAACAATAAAAATAAAAAACAATTAAAACCAGTAAAACAATAAAACCCAATAAAACAATAAAACCCAATAAAAACAATAAAAACAATAAAACCCAATAAAAACAAT